CCTTTATTGTTTTCCTGATATTCTTCAGTTATTTGTGTTTTCTTGTAGCTCTCTAAGCATCTTTAAGATGATTATTTTGAAGACTTTGTCAGGTGTTTTGTAGATCTCCATTTCTTTAGATTGGTAACTGGTGCTTTATTTTATTCCTTTGGTGATGTCATGTTTCCCTGATTATGTGTGATCATTGTGGTTTTGCTCTGATGTCTGCACATACAAAGAAACGGGCACTTCTTTTAGTCTTTACAGATTGGTTTCAGCATGAAAACCCTTGACATGTCAGCCCACCTAGAAATTCTGGGCAAGCTCTTTGGTGGTGTCAGTGGGTAGACTTGATGCTAGATTTGTCAGGCAAGCTGGCCTATTACCTGAATCAGAGGGTGGGCAAGACTGGTGCTTAGGTCCACAGGAGCCAGCCTCATGCTTTGGTCGATGGGGCTGGACCTGAAGTATTGGTTCACTATAGTAGGTCTGTGTCCTGAGACAATGGGGGCCAGCCTGACACAGGGGTCCATTGGGTTAAACCTGTCAATTCAGTCTGTATGGACAGGCCTGGAGTCTGGGTACACATTGGCTGATCTGACACTGGGGTGATCTTTGAGCCTGAATCTGAGAGGGCTGGCCTGGACTTAGAATGGGCCTGGGTCCATGGAGATGAGCCTGGTTCTGATTCTGTTGTGGCCAGCTTATAACTAAGGTTTGCTGGGGTAGGCGCCTAGCACCTAGGTTCAAGGTAGCTGGTCTGGTCCTTGGGACCATAAGAATAAGCCTAGAGTCTGACTCCATGGGGACTGGCCTGGTGCTAGAGTAGGCCTGGAGTCTGCTTTGGGGGACACCCTGGGTCCTACATCTGTGGGAGTCAGCTTTGAACCTGAGCCTCAAGAGCAGTCCTGGAGCCTTGATCATGAGTATGACCTGGTACTAGGAAGTACTATCCTAGGTTCATTCCATCGGACCTAGACCCTGAGGACTCCTAGGACTGACTGGCTTAGAGCCTGAGGCAGCCTAGCACTAGAATAGGTTTGAAGCCTGAGTCCAGAGGGGCTAGTTTAAAGCCTGGATTCACATGTGCTAGCCTAAAGTACTAGGTACTTTAGGTACTTTGGGTTCACAGGTACAGGCCTGGAGCCTGGGGCTGTGGGAGCAGGCTGTGAACAGTCTTTTTGCTGGAGTCCATAGCAAAATCATATGCTTATTTCATTCCCTTTTACCTACATGAAAGATATCTCTCTATGCCCTTCTGTCCTGGTGTGGGGACAAGGTAATGTGGATTATATGAAAATGTTCTTCCTACCCTCTACAATGATGTATCTTTTATTATTTTTGTGCTATACCCAGGTGCTGTAATATCTTACCTGGATTCTTTAGCTCTTGTGAAGGTATTTTCATGCATGAATAATTGTTCAAATTGATATTTCTGCAAAGGGATGAGTGCTAGGAAGTGCTACTCTGCCATCTTGGTGATGTCACTCCTCCTCAGTCCTTTTTTCTTTCTTTCTTTTTTACTTGTATATATTCAAAACCATGAGTTTACTTTGATACCTCTAATTCCAATCCTAACCATTTTAGTTTTCTCTCTTTCCATATTATAATTACCATCTCCAACAGTGAAAAACCTAGCTGGCATTATTTTTCATATATTTACTTATTCAATCAATCCTTTTATGTAGCCAATCTCTCATATTTGCTGCCAGCCTCTCCCCTATGTAGATGCATGCCCTTTAAGGCTCTGATACTCCATGCCAGGTTGCTCATTCTGCAAGGATACCCTCCTTACCCACACTTTATCTTTGACTTCCAACACCAGAGTGAAGACTACCTCCCTCTTCTTCCCATTATGTGTGAATATCATCATCATTACCTTGGACCCTGACACCTATGGTGTCACACAGACATCCTCCTCACTATGGTTGAACTCAGATAGCTTGCTCTGGGGCACCATAGCACCCTTCACCACCAATGTGGAAGCCTGCATTGTTTGGGCCCCCAAATGGTTTTAGGATTAAATTGTTGAGGAAGAGAAGGAGATATAAAAAAAGAAAAAGAAAAGAAATTAAGAGAAGGGGAAGGTAAGGAAAACCAGAACATTAATATCTTCAAATATAAATACAAGATTATTTTTAATATAATCAAATAATAGCAAAACAAAGAAAGTTAGTTAACATAACTAAAAGTTTGTAAGTAAGAAAATACATTCTAGAGTGGTGGGAGACTTGCATAGGATGAAATTCTTTAATAGAATTTGGGTGAAATATACTGGAGATTTAGCTGAAGGAAAAGAAATCTGAAATTTGCAAATCAGAAATGTTAAACCTGCCTTGGTCCCTTTCACCTCCTTTTATCTTCCTTTAAAAGCATCCTAAACCCATTGTGTCCTTATTTATTAGCCAAGCTTCCTAATAATAACAGAGACTCATTTCATACCCAGATTTCAATACTGGAAAACTTTTTCCAGAGGGATCTAGTCCCCCTTGCCATTTTGGAAAAAAAGAGTATTATGTAGATAAATAAATGCCCTCTCCCAAATCTTGCATATATATATGTCTTAAGTAAGATCCATAACCACTTGGAGAAGTTTTCCAGCATTGAAATCAGTAAAATTGTGTCAAAAATTAAAAAGATCTCATAATAAAAAGATAAGATTACAGGATAAAACACCGGAAGACAAACATTGTCAATTTGGAATGACAGACACTTTTGAAAATAGTCTTTATGGGTCATGTGTTGCTGTTGTTAGAGGGAAATGATGGAATACTAAGAGGCTAAAAGGAATTTGAAAAGATTTTACAATATGTACAAACTTTTATGAAAATGTATCCTTTATGTCAAACTTTAGATATCACAGTCCTTATTCCCAAGATACCAAAGTATTAATATATTATAAGATGAATAAAGTATCCTGAAATTCTACAAGCCTGATGAGACCGCCGTCTCTATATTACCAAGGTAATAAATGGATTGATTGGTGTCCCAAAGCCATTAATATAAAAAAGGTGATGTTTAAACACCTTCAACAAGATACCTCTTGAATAGAATATCATCTGAAAAGTAAATTTTGTAGCCAGACCTACAGAAGGTAAACAGGAGTCAACTAGCAGCTAACCAGAGCATTAGCTGTCAGGCAAAAATGATATCGTTATCAGAGGGGACATCAACAGTGCTAAGATTTAAGCATCCAGTAAATTGATTCAAATCTCAAAAGAACAAAAGGATTGACTAGAAATTTCTGTTCCTTGCAGAGTTAAATGTTATATTATATCACTATGGTCCTCAGTGATAACTCTAAGAAAACATTTGTCTTATTTAAAATAAGGGCAGTGAATTAATAATTGGCTAAATATTTGTTATGTTTACTTTAATTACAGCAATTAATTTTGGCAGTGGTATAAACACAAAGTATTATACATTAAGTACAAAACTAGAGATGGAGAAGGGAGAGTAGATAGACAAAAGGGCTCTCCTAAAGTTTGAAAAAGATTTTGTTTATTGAATACATGGTTAGGTCTTCACCCACATTCCAAAGCCCAGAACACAGTGCTGAAGTATGCAAAAAAAGCTAAGAAATAAGAAGCATGACTAATGTTAAAAGAAGTGATGATTAGTCATCTCTTCTTCCCTTATCTTGACTTTGATATAAGAGATTTAAATGAATTAATGAATGGATGAATGAATAAACAAACACATAAATAAAACAAGCTAATCTCTGAAGAAAGAGAAGGGGATTGAAATAATTACTCCCTCTATCATAAAGTACCTTTGATTCCTTGAGAAAAATCCCAGTAAAGAGCTGAGTACCCCTCAGGTCTAGATACAAATGTAGCAGGTCTATTAACAAAAACTTATACTAATGAACTAAGAGAATATGAATGAAAGTACTACCAGATAAAAGTCACATAGAAGCAAAAAATAAAAACACATAGGATAAGAAGTAAATAACAAGGAAGATCACATGTAATATACAGATAAAGAAGGAATTGGAATTAATTCATGAGTACCTGAAGAACTGAAAAGAAATTTTTTAAAAGTGTGACAGTATAGAGAAATGGGGCAGAAGTATTAATAATAGGGTGATACAAATTCTATTTGGGTAGAAATTTTTGTCTGTCTTCATTCCTGCATCTCCTGTATTCAGAAAAATATCTGGCAAATAGTAGGTAATGAATAAAAATCATTAAGTGAGTGAATGAATAGGATAAGTAAGAGAGACATCAGTGATACAACAATAGTAGAAAAGGGAGGCCGGGTGCGGTGGCTCATGCCTGTAATCCTACACTCTGGGAGGCTGAGGCGGGCGGATTGCTTGAGGTCAGGAGTTCAAAACCAGCCTGAGCAAGAGCGAGACCCCCGTCTCTACTATAAATAGAAAGAAATTAATTGGTCAACTAATATACATAGAAAAAATTAGCCAGGCATAGTGGCACATGCCTGTAGTCCCAGCTACCCGGGAAGCCGAGGCTGGAGGATTGCTTGAACCCAGGAGTTTGAGGTTGCTGTGAGCTAGGCTGACACCACGGCACTCACTCTAGCCTGGGCAACAAAGTGAGACTCTGTCCCAAAAAAAGAAAGAAAAGAAAAGTGGGATGTTATAAAAATAAAACATAAAAATATTTTTATGCCCCATAATATTCTGAAATAAAAAAATTAAAATAGAAACAGAATCGTGATAAAGGGGGAGTAGCACAAAGAAAATGTGGGAACTGATCATTAGAGAATTGAGAGGATAAAAAGATACATAGAAATATAACAAGACAAGAAGGTAAAGATAGGAATAGAAGGCATAAAATATTAAAATTACAAAAAAAGATAGAAATGGTAGAAACTGGCAAAAAGGGAGAACTGCAACATAGAGCCTACTAAAATGAGATAAATATTTATAAACACTTTCCACATTTAAACATACTTCTCAAATTTCCATTCTTAAAGTCTGTTCCTAGCCTTCCATATATCCGTAACTGATATTTTTAAAACACGTATTGGCACATAAAATAGGACACTCTACTCACCCAGTTTTGAAACTTTAAGAACTCTTCAATGGTCTGTGGAGGTTCTTGTGTTTTCTAATGAAATAAAATCAATATTGCTCATTGATATAAATTCAGATTGTTTGCGATGCTTATACATAATTTACTTCAATAAAATGTGATGTTATATTTAAGTCATCATTTTAAGAGCTGTAAAGTATTATAAAATGTTCATTTTGTAAAGCTCCTGCACTTTGAAAAGGGACAGAGATGAATGTTTAGATTCTTAGCCTCCAAATTCTGTAAAGGGCTTTCCTCTTATATACTGTTCCTAGAGAAAAGCTCCACATGAATCTTGCTGAATGACCTCATTTAAAATTCCTATAAGAATTCAAAGAAATTTCAGGCTATCATAGATGGCGTTTACAATAAATCCAGAGCCAAAAATATAATAGCATGCTAATCTTGCTGATAAAGTATTTTAAAAAGTCACACTAGTGACATGGTGAAAATAATTTAAATATTTGGATGTTTCAGTCTAATAAGCAATAATCCCATTTTTATTAGTAGTTGCTTTGTGAGTTGATAACGCATTCAACATTAGACAAATTAATTTTAATTGAGAGCACACCTTGTTTTTTCTTGTCTTACAGACTTTGTACATATTCTTCCTTTTGTTTAGAAGTCTCCCTGTCCCAAATGCTCTCCCTTCTAACCCTTTCTTGTCCTATTTAACTCTTATTTCAAATACCAAATTAAAAGCCACTTTTTCTGGCAAGCCTTCCTCGGCACCCAGAAAGTTTCTCCATAGTAACATACAGCAGATTATCTCTATGAGGATAGAAACTATGGTGTAATCATGGCTGAATTTTCTAAATTTCACACAGTGGTTGGCCCATAGTCAATGCAGAATAAGTACTTATAGTGTTAACCAATCAATGAATAAATGAGGAGGTGAATGTCAGAAATGTATAGGCATTTTAAAAACAATGAAAATGTCTAAAGAATAAAAATCCAGTGACAAGAAAGCAAAAATAAGAGGAATTCAGATGTCTAATATTCTAATATCCATGGTGACATCACTGAAAAGATTACATTAGATTTTTATTTACAAAAATATATATTTCATATTAATATATAAAGGGATCAGGATTACAAAATCACAAGGCATGTTTTGTAAAAATTAATTATATATTTGAGTTTAAAGAGAATATTTCATTCCCTTAATATAGTTTAAAATATATGATGAGTATAAGTAAATATGTAACTGATAATGCAATAATAATAATAAGATAAAGGGTGTATTTGACAACTATTACAGAAAACAAGTGTTTACACAGAAGCAAAGGTACGTAGAGATGCCAAGAAAATTTTACAGAAAACATGGACTCTATGGCTAGTTAGATTGAGCAGGGTGAGAGATATGAGAGATGGTGTGCACAAAAGGCTTAGAGACAGAAAAACATTCATGATGTAATATTTTCAGAGACAGTAGGTATGATAGTTTGGTGAAAAGGAACTAGCAGTATATTTTTAAAGGTACAGAATATAAAGGGGCCTAATGAAAACATTTTTGAAGTGTTGACCTTTTTTTCTTGTAATGGCTGTCGAACCACTTCTAGTACAAAGCACTAAAAATAATATTCACATTTAAATTAAAGGGAATTAAAAAAATGAATTATGGAAGTGAAATTTACATATGAAAATTCCAGCTAATTTCAATATAAAATTCCAAGGTCTCTCAGGCTAAAGTTAAAAAAAGTTGAAGCATAAATTAAACAGATTCCTACTTTGAGTAGGATGTAGAAGGACACAAACCACCTATGGCTTGCATGGTAACAACAATAAAAACTTAGACAAAATAAAAATCATACATTTCTATGGGGTTAGTGAAAAGTGGTGAATGCCAGTAAGCAGAACCAGTTACATAATTGGAGAAAATTCAGAGTCCCTGTTAAAAAATTATTAAGAATTTCAAGATGATGGCCTCAGAGCATTAAACCAAGTACAGGGCCCTTCTCAGCATGAGCACTGCACAACTGCAGAGGTAGCAAGTCCATGAAGTTAGCCCTACCTGGAATCTTTGATTATCTGAAATCCAGACAGAAATATGTCCTTTATAAGTGAGATTACAGCTATGGCAGCTTCCTTACCTGGTGGTTAAATTTGCTTCGACTCCCCCGTTGGCCTGGCATGATGCAGTAACTTTGCAGAGATCAGGAGAAATCAGCTAGGCCTTAGGTGCCAGTGTGAGTTAGGGAACCAAACTGGAGTCTGAAAGACACCCACATGCAAAAACAAATGGCTCAGTCAAACAATCCCTTCTTCCTCACCCCCAACCTCACTTCTGAATTTTGCCATAAAAAGCAGCAGTGGAGAGGCTGGAAGGAGAGAAACTATACAATCTAGCACATTCTCATAGTTTTGGATTCCAGGGCCCTGACAGAGTTGACCATAAAGATGGACTAAAATATCTAAAACCTCAGTCCAAACTACTCTCAGCTCAAATATTGATAAGATATAAGAGGTTGATATGAAGGTTAAGGTTGGAAGTTGAATTAATCATAGGCAAACTCATCTAGTCAAACTGCAGCCAACCCTAAAGCTCAACTCAACTCTAGGAGGATTCTAAAGATCAGCCTCTCGTTCTAAATGCCAAAGAAAGGAAAAGGCTTGGGATCTCTGAAAATAAACTAAATTAAATTTCAGCCTCCACAATTTTTTCTACATAATTTCTAATAAACAATAAAACAACTATATAACATAAAAAGGAAGAGGAAAATGGGACCCATAATCCAGAGAGAATACTGTCAATATAAATCAATTAACTGAGAAACCAGTTATTGTGATTGGCAGAGAAGTTTATAGAAACTGTTAAAAATATGTAAAGATTTTACAATATAGGTTGGATTACAGTACATGAAGAAATGAAGTAGTTCAAGAGAAATGGAAATTCTAAAAAAGAAACATGGAAATTCAAGAACCATGCATATGCTAATTATAAAAAAGCTGGTGTGTCTACATTAATGTTGGACAATGTAGGCTTCAAGACAAGGAGTATTATCAGGCATAAATAAAGATTTTTCATATTGAAAAATCATCAGTACATTAAGAAGGCATACTAATGCAAAATGTGTTTGCATCTAATAACAGAGTTTTGAGATAAATGTAGCAGAAATCGATAAAACTAAAGAGAAATATAGGCAAAACCACAATTACAGTTGGAGATCTAACATCTTTCTGAGCAATCAATGAATCAAGTACACACACACAAATCAATAAGGAGATGAAAGATTTTTTGTTGTTGTTGTTAGTAAAAGTACTTTATTTTCTTCTTTTACTTGCTTTATATCTTGCTTTACAAAGTTATGAAGTTCACAGCTTTATACCAAAATGTAAGAAGGCTATTTGCTTATAAATATTTTTGCAGTCAAGTGTCATCTGACTTCATTCTTCTAATCCAAATTCAATAATAAAAAAAATTCAGAAACCAAGGGTGCTGGAGCAGCTCTAGGGCATATGTTTCTCTTTAACAGGAGAAAAGTCTTCAACAGCCTTTCCTCCTTGACCTCCTCTTCCTCCCCCAATGTATTTGGGTTACCACCTTGAAGTTGGATCAAATCTGGGAAACTTCAGCACCATGTGACCCAGTAGGGCCACATACTTAGGGCTGGAGGTGAGGAAGTTAGAGGTTACTGTCTGATAAGCAGTAAGTTTGGTTTATGTGAGCATTTCACACCCACGTGCACATGGAACTCAGTATATCCCAAATCACCTCCACTACAGCTTCTATTGCTATCCATCAGACCACTTCTCTTAAACCCTGAGGATCCTGATGATTTGGGGCAGGGATAAAACCACTATTTTACAAATGTGGCAGGCATGACCTTCATAATAATTCTAGGAGCTCTCCTTTAGGAACAAAATTTATAAGCAAGCATATATAAATTGCAGTTACTTGAGCAAACCAGAGAGTACATGCTGTTCAAATCCCACTTCATAATATACTTCAATCTCCCCTCCAATGAATTCTCTTCCATAAAATATACCATACCACTCCACTAAGTGTATACCTACTCCCACCAAATCATCCACATGTCTAGTCACTAAAGTTGTCCATTGTATAATCTACCAGAAAAAAGATAAACAAAACCTTTGTTAGGCAAATAATGAAACAGAAATAATACTGCCTATAAATTATAGGTAGATCAGGACCTAAAACACTCAACTGCTAACCCTTTGAGGAAAAAAAGTTTTCCCATTAAGCAGGAGTGTAGTAGTAAGTAATGACTTCCTCTCAAATTTAAGTAACATCAGGTCAAAATCATTCCTTGCTCTTTGACATCTGTTTGTATTATGTCTAATTGCTTTGTAATTGAGTAGAGGAATATGCCAAAATATATTTTGAACCTAATTAACTTTCACATAAAACATGAAGTGACTGATATCAGAACAAACTGCCATTAAAACAGGAGCATATGCACACACAAGGATTTACACTGTGGTTTCCTTGGCTTTGGGCCATTAGAATAGGCAAAGGAATTAAAAATAACATTCTAAAAATGGCCTCCAACAACTTATAAGAAATGAGTTGGGTTCTGTCAGGCCATTTAACAGTTTCCTTTCTTCATTAGGCTACTAAATACCAAAGCCAACACACACCCCTGAGCCAACAGCTCTTCTCTGAGAGGAAGCAGAGGGCTATCATCAGTCACAATGTCATGGAGGGCTTAACAAATAGCCACAATTCTGCATAACTCTGAAGACACTTAAAAGTAATAATATACAACCATAAGCAGCCAAGATGCTGGTGGTCTCTTCATTTCTCAACAGAGGGCTAGAATGGTTCATTTTGAATAACACACTAACTTAGTGTTAAAAGAATTTTACATTTTCTTGAAACAGACATTATTGCCACTGCTTCAAAAAAATACTTTGATGAAATGAAGAAAAACATGACAAGTACAGGTGCCCACGCACACACACCCATACAAAGGAACTTTCACACATGCACACACACAGAGGCAGATACAGGCACACGATTCTACCAAAACTAAACCCAAATCACAGTTCTTACTGATTCTATCAATCTTTACTACTCTCAAAAGTTTCCAGTTGCCCAACACCTCACATACCCTTTTCCTGCTCTACCAAGGCTCCACCACTCTCATCTTTTATCCTCGGGCAGGGAAGGAGGGTACCCACACAACAGAGCATGCAAGGTTTTCCTAGCACAATGCCCAGCCATGGAAATGTGGCTTCACTACAGCCCAGAGAAAAATGCCAATTTTGGCAATAAATCCAAATGGACTTTCCTGGGATGAGGAAATGAAAGATTTTAACAACATTAATAAACAACTTAACCTAATTGACACTTACAAAATAACTATACCCCATAGCTTAGGTATATACAGTCTTTTAAAATAATGAAACATGGAACATTCACCAAGATGGACCTATGTTGTACATAAGACAAGTCTCAAAATTTTTCAAATAATTGAAGTCATTCACGGTATGTTCTCTGATTACAAAAGAATTAAAATAAAAACAATAACAAAATGCCATGCTGAAGATCCTTAATTATTAAATAATCCATTTCTAAATAACACATGGCTCAAAGAAGAAATAATAAGGAGAATTAGAAATTTCTTCTAACTGATAATGAAAGGTAATGAAAACACAACATATCAAAAATTTTTGGCATGTTGCTAAAGCTGTTCTTAGAGGAAAATCTTTAGCTTAAAGTGCTTAGAAAGCTAAAAAATTAAAAGAAAAATAAGTAGAAAAAAGGAAATAAAGATATGAGCAGAGATCAATGAATTAAAAATATGAAAACAGAGAAATCAACAAACCAAATTTGGTCTTTGAAAAGTAGAAGTGAATAAAAAAACAAGAGAGAAAAATATAAATGACTAATATTAGAAATGACTGAGGGGATATTACCATAGATCCTACAGATGTAAAAATGACTAAAGGACATATAATTAAAACCTTTAAGTCAATAAATTTCAAAAAGCTAAATGAAATGGACAAATCCTTTAAAAAAATCACCAAAAATGAAATAAGATAAAGTAAACTTGAATATCTATTTTAATTTGAATTCATAATTTAAAATCTTTCCACAAAGAAATTCCAGGCCCAGATGGCTATACATAAAAAACATTAAAGAAATAAAATAATTTAATATAAACTTTCAGAAATAGACAAGGAATGAACACTTCTTAAATGATTTTATGAAGCCAGTGTAACTTTGATACCAAAATCTGACAAGGATATTACAAAAAAGAAAATTTTAGATCAAGTATACTTCAAGAACATAGATACAAAAATCCTTAACAAATTACTAGCAAATTGAGCCCAGCAAGGTTAAAAAAGGATGTCATGCTCAAGTGAGGTTTATCCTGAGAATGTAAAAATCAGTCAATAATTTTACAATGCATTTAAAATATTAGTGTTATGCATTTAATATATCAGTAATGTATAAATTTTAAAATTCTATCAGCAATGTATGAATTTTAACTGATTTTTATTCATAATAATGACTAAAGACATTCTAAAGATTCCCAAAAGACATGAGCATAAATGAGCATATTTTGACTTCAAAACTAGTATTTTCAAAACATAATTCATAATCATCTCTTGAAATAAGTCCTTACTTTCTAAATCTTGTTCTTATTTTTAATGGTAGAGATTTCATAGTTGACCAGGTTTGAAGTCTGAGTTACCTTAGACTCTTCCTTCTCTTTCATTATCTCCCATATCTATACCATCACTATGATTCCTTTTTTTAAAAAAAATCTCTTTAAAAAATCTTTTTAAGAAATTACTGATTTCCTACTTTCCTCACTGACATTTTAAAGAAGTATTCCTATTTCATGTATTCTATCCATATTGTAGGAAAACCTATCTTAATTTTTTGGTCACAAAACACATAGAAAACAAAATGGTCCAATGAAAACTGGCTTAACTAGCAAAAGCCTTGGCATCTGCTGGAGACTGTGACCAAGCCAATTATAAGGGCATTTTAGTCATGTTAGCATGAATGTGGCAGTGGCCTGTGCTTCTTCTAGTCACAAGTTTGTTTTTGGTGGGGTTGGAGGCAGATATTATTGGAAGAACATTAATTTGAGTAGATTTCTCTTTTACCAATTTGAGTGCTTCCTACTCAGACACAATGGGCTAAGTGCTAGGTGTGATAAAGATGAATGACTTGAACTTGGGACATGTATATAAACAATTACAATGTGGGTTATGATGTGCTAAGAACCATAATA